TCCGCCTGCCTCAGCCTGCCAAAGTGCTGGGATTACAGGTGTGAGCCACCGCGCCCGGCCTGGCCCTGCCTTTTCAAGTGGGGAAGATGTGTACAGACAGTACGGCATAGTGGTTGTGGGCACAGACTGTGGAGGGAGCCATACTGCCTTGCTGCGGGCCTCCAGCCTTGGTAGTGTGACTTCAAGCAGGTTGCTTCATCTCCTGTACCTTAGTTTTCCTGTTTGTAGTCAGTGCGTGGTAGCAGCACTGACTTCATGGACTTTTTGTGAGGGTTAAACACGTGGAATTGCAGCTGGCACGTAAGAACTGGATAGGTGTTTGTTAATTAAAAAGTCCAGGCCAGAAAGAGGTGCTCTGGAAGCTGAGAGTCGGCCCTGGGTTGCCAGGGCACTGCAGCTAAATCCGGATGGAGGAATAGGAGCTCACCCTGGTGGGGAAGGATGGACATTCAGGCAGAGAGCAAAATCCCAAAGATCATGCGGAGCAGGCATTGTCTTGGGAATTGGAAGCAGGTGGGTGTGGTAGGAGTGAGCTCAGACTTTGGCTGGAGACAGAGTTTTACTCCAGTGTCTCACAGGGCATGGCAAGCAGACAGCAGCGGGTGTTTGTCAAATAAATGAGTCAGCTCTTCTCCAAACTCCGTCCTCCCAGCTACCTCTTCACCTTTCCTGGTATAGTCTAGGAGTTCATTTTTGACCCCCACAGAGTCTGATGCACAGTAGGTGCTGTGTGTTTGTGAAAGAGGCTGACCCAGCAAAGCCTGGATGTGTCTGCCTTGAGGACTGCCTGAGTCCTTGACATCAGCCCTCCACCATTTTCTCCTCTTCACCCCAATGCTGGGCCTGAGCCTCCATCTCTCCACAGGTGGTGGTGCTCACCAACACCCCCCTGGAGGACCAGCTGCGAGTGGGTGAGTTCTGTCACAGCCGTGGCATCAAGCTGGTGGTGGCAGACACAAGGGGCCTGTTTGGGTGAGTGGCGGCCCACCCCGCTCCCTGTCCCCTTTTCCTCCAACTCCTACCAGGCCCAGGCCAAGACCTCTAGGCTCTCCCTGCCCTCGTCCCTCCTCAGCTACCCAGATTTTGGGTTCTTTGTGTTCATCTCTCCTCATGTGGCACAAGTACCATCTTACATCCCAGCAGTGATAGGCTGAGTTTGCTCAGCAAGTTTTCACTACATCTTGAGGGACCTGTGGGGCCTGTTTGTGCATGGGACACGGGCATCAGCCCTATTGCTTCCCTCTACAGGCAGCTCTTCTGTGACTTTGGAAAGGAAATGATCCTCACAGATTCCAATGGGGAGCAGCCGCTCAGTGCTATGGTTTCTATGGTTACCAAGGTAAGGAGACCAGCCCTAGGGTTCCTGGCGGGCAGGTGGGCTGTGGTAGTCCTTCCTGTCCGCTCTTGGTACCCTGGGCCTGTTTCTGAGACTCACTCTTCCTTTAACCAGGACAACCCTGGTGTGGTTACCTGCCTGGATGAGGCCCGACACGGGTTTGAAAGTGGGGACTTTGTCTCCTTTTCAGAAGTACAGGGCATGGTTGAACTCAACGGAAATCAGCCCATGGAGATCAAAGTCCTGGGTGAGTTGGGACCATGGGGGAAGCAGAGGGAAGCTAGGAGATATGTTCCTGGGTTCTGGCTAGGGAGTTGAAGGGAGGAGACATGGCCCTTGGTTCAGATTGGGGAGACACATCCTGTTGTTTAAGATGAACTACAGACAGAATCCCGTGGGGTCCAATAAGAGCTGGTGGGCATGGGGGAGAGGTGCTGTGTTCGAGCTATTCCTGGGAGAATGTGTCCCTGGTATCTGAGCTGAGGGGGAAAAGGTCTCTGGTGTTTGAACAGGGCAGGTCAGAGGATCTACTGTGTGTGAGCTGATTTGGATGGGAAGCAGATAAGGTCTTCCCATGTAGACTTGGAGCCAGGGACATAGGGTCTCACAGGGTCTGAGCTGGGTCTGGGGCACAGGAGAGATGTTTTCTGATGTCCATGTGGAGCCTGGAGCAGAGGGGAGATGGCGTCTGATGTCTGAGCTGAGTTGGGGCAGGAGGTTCCTTATCTTGCAGGGGTTGTGGATTTTAGGGAGAATGGGTAGACTGATAGCTCTCTTCCTGCCCTCTATAGGTCCTTATACCTTTAGCATCTGTGACACCTCCAACTTCTCCGACTATATCCGTGGAGGCATCGTCAGTCAGGTCAAAGTACCTAAGAAGATTAGCTTTGTGAGTGTGTCAGTGGGAACAGTGGCTATGTGGGGTAGTTCTAGGCATTCCCGAGTTCTCCATTCCTCTCTTCTGGTTCTGATGACCTCCCCCTTCCCCCGCCACAGAAATCCTTGGTGGCCTCACTGGCAGAACCTGACTTTGTGATGACGGACTTCGCCAAGTTTTCTCACCCTGCCCAGCTGCACATTGGCTTCCAGGCCCTGCACCACTTCTGTGCTCAGCATGGCCGGCCACCTCGGCCCCGCAATGAGGTGGGTGGGTAGGCGAGCCAGCCAATGCACACATGCCTGGCACTGAAGGCCCACCATGCTTCTGCTTATCCACACTCCCTGCCCTCATTGTGGCCTGACAGATCCTCTTTTGGTTCTTTCTGGCCTACCAGGAGGATGCAACAGAACTGGTGGCCTTAGCACAGGCTGTGAATGCTCGAGCCCTGCCAGCAGTGCAGCAAGAGAACCTGGACGAGGACCTCATCCGGAAGTTGGCATATGTGGCTGCTGGGGATCTGGCACCCATAAACGCCTTCATTGGGGGCCTGACTGCCCAGGAAGTCATGAAGGTCAGCATGGGTTGGGAGAGGCAGGATTGGGGTGGGCCAGGTGCCTCCCTGACTCCATCACTTGCTCTCTGTGTCAGGCCCCTGTTAACCACTGACCACCCCCTCTCTCCCTTCCCCTCTCCAGGCCTGCTCCGGGAAGTTCATGCCCATCATGCAGTGGCTATACTTTGATGCCCTTGAGTGTCTCCCTGAGGACAAAGAGGCCCTCACGGAGGACAAGTGCCTCCCAGTATGTGGGTGGGACCTGTGGGGAGGGCATCATTGGGGGCATTTCTGGGGAGGCCTCTCTCTGACCCTCCTCCCTTTGCATTCCTTAGCGCCAGAACCGTTACGATGGGCAAGTGGCTGTGTTTGGCTCAGACCTGCAAGAGAAGCTGGGCAAGCAGAAGTATTTCCTGGTGAGTGGTCCCCTTGGATGCCTGCTCCCCTCATCTTGGCCTCTGACCATCTGCCCTGGGGCTTCCTTCAGCATTTCAACGCAACCTGTGGGGCATTCCCTTTGCCATTCTCCTTATCTTGAAGGGAAGCCCAGTGCATCCCTCGTTTCCCGCTCTGGTTCCTCCTTCCTCACACGACTGCATGTCATTTCTTAGAGTCCTGGAACCTGAAGATGTGGTGTTAGCCCCTCTCCCCATCTCTCAGGGGAGTGAGGGGTGATGGGTAGCCTCACACTAACCTGCATCACCCTGACCAGCCTCTGCCTGTCTTCTTGGTTGCCTCTTAGGTGGGTGCGGGGGCCATTGGCTGTGAGCTGCTCAAGAACTTTGCCATGATTGGGCTGGGCTGCAGGGAGGGTGGAGAAATCATCGTTACAGACATGGACACCATTGAGAAGTCAAATCTGAATCGACAGTTTCTTTTCCGGCCCTGGGATGTCACGGTGAGTAGGGTAGGAGGTGGGGCTTTGTCATCTCACTTTCCTCCTTTTTCTTTTTTTTTTTTTTTTTCTTGAGACAGAGTTTTGCTCTTGTTGCCCAGGCTGGAGTGCAGTGGCATGATCTCTGGCCCACCGCAACCTCTGCCTCCTGGGTTCAAGCGATTCTCCTGCCTCAGCCTCCTGAGTAGCTGGGATTACAGGCATGCGCCGCCATGCCCGGCTAATTTTGGTTTTTAAGTAGAGACAGGGTCTCTCCATGTTGGTCAGGCTGGTCTTGAATTCCCGACCTCAGGTGATCCGCCTGCTTCAGCCTCCCAAAGTGCTGGGATTACAAGTGTGAGCCACCTCACCTCGCCCCTCCTTTTTCTTGTTCCCATTCTTTCTGTCAGAGATCTTTCCACCTCGGCCAGAAGCCTTTCCCAGCTTCTGTATCTTACTTGTTTTTTTTGTTTTTTTTGTTTTTGCCTTGACCTTAGTGCTGGTTGGGACAGTGTGTCTGGGGTCCTCAAAACCACTCTCAAGCTCAATTCACCAAGAGAACTCATGGGACTTAGCATATAGTCGTGCTTGTGGCTACAATTTATTACAGCAAAAGGAAACAGACCAAAATCAGCAAAGGGAAAAGGCTGGTGGGGTGAAGTCTGGGGGAGCCAGGTACAAGTTTCTAGGAGTCTTCTCCCTGTGGGAGTTAAACAGGGCAGCCTTTATTTCCCCAGTAGCAACAGTAACTACAGAAATAACAGCAACAAAGTGTAACAAGATGTGAAATGTTGCCAACCAGGGAAGCTTGTTAGACTCAGCACCATCGTGAAATGTTGCCAATCAGGGAAGCTTGTTAGACTCAGCACCATCTCTTTTACTTGGGACTGGTCATGTAGGCGCCCCCTTCCTGGCACATACCAAAATTTCCAGACTCCCAGAAGGAAAGGTGTTCAGCATAAACTGTATTGTTTGCATGAACAGTTTAGGCACAGTGAACCACTGATATCAGGTAGGGAGTGGTGGGATTCTTCCCGAATTCCAAGTTCCCAGACTCCAGCCAAGGGTGGACCTTGGAAGCAGGCCTTTCCAAGGGTTGCAGTTTCAGTCTCCTAGGCTTACACTTCTCTGCCCATATGGAAACTGGGTTGGTTATGCAGGGATCTCTGAGAAGCCTTCTGTAGGGAACAATGTCATTTTTGCTTACCCAGGATTTATTCCCCCTTTCATTCATTTCATTTATTCACCAAATAGTTACTGAGGTACTGTTTTAGGTATTGGGGATATACCAAGGAATAAAACAAGATTTCTGAAAGGGGAGGGGAACGGACAGCAAACAATAGATACAATACGATCGTGAGGTATATAGTTAATGTCGGTGATGAGTGCTCCTCAAAGGAAACAACAAAAACCAGACAAGGGAAGTCAGGGTGTCAGGGAGAATGGTTTGTAGTATTGATGACAGTGGTTAAGGAAGGCCTGAGTTCTGCAGAGACCTCAAGGATATGAGGGACTAGAGCGCCTTCTGCTGCGGAAGAGCCCACGCAAAGATCCTGAGGTGGGAGGGTCAGGGAGCCAACTCATTTTACGGTAAGTGGAGGTGGGATCCAGGGGAGGATTCTGAGCAGAGGAGGGATGTGGCCCACCTTGGGCTTTGAAAGGATCCTGCTTGTCTGTGCGCTAGCATCCTGGTGCTGGTTGGGGGAGTCTACGTCAATCCTGGGTGCTATTACCTGAAAAAATAGTAGGTGTTAGATGAAAGAACAGATGTCTGGCCCATTGTCTCCAGTCTGTTCCTGTCCACAGCTTCCCTTTCCACTGATCCCCTGCCACATGCGTCATCATCCTGGCCATGTGGCATTGTCACAGACCGTCTCTCCTGCTAGCCACCTAACTCAGGGCCTGGGTCTTCCCCAGCATTAAGTAAATCCATCTCAGGCAGGCAACCCTTTATAGATGTTTGGGCCAGGTGTGGTGGCTCACGCCTGTAATCCCAGCTCTTCGTGGGGCCGAGGTCTTTGAGCTCAGGAGTTCAAGACCAGCCTGGGCAGCATGACAAAACCCTGTCTCTACCAAAAATACAAAAATTAGCCACGCATGGTGGTGCACACCTGTGGTCCCAGCTACTTGGGAGGCTGAAGTGGGAGGATGGCTGGAGCCTGGGAAGTTGAGGCTGCAGTGAGCTGTGATCATGCCACTGCACTCCAGCCTGTGTGATGGAGAGAGACCCTGTCTCAAAAAAAAAAAAAAGATGTTTGTTGGGTGAATGAACAGATAAGTGAGCTCTGTTCCCCCGTCCCCACCCTGGAACTGCACTTTCTTAACCCTTTAGAAGTTAAAGTCTGACACGGCCGCTGCAGCTGTGCGCCAGATGAATCCACATATCCGGGTGACAAGCCACCAGAACCGTGTGGGTCCTGACACAGAGCGCATCTATGATGACGATTTTTTCCAAAACCTAGATGGCGTGGCCAATGCCCTGGACAACGTGGATGCCCGTGAGTTTGGAGGCGGGTGAAGTGGTCAAGGGCAAAGTTGTGTGTGTTTCGGTGTGTATATACCAAGAGGGGTGTCTGTCTTCCTGTCCTCTCCTAATGTTCCTTTCCCGGCTGTCGCTTTGTCCTCCCCGCAGGCATGTACATGGACCGCCGCTGCGTCTACTACCGGAAGCCACTGCTGGAGTCAGGCACACTGGGCACCAAAGGCAACGTGCAGGTGGTGATCCCCTTCCTGACAGAGTCGTACAGTTCCAGCCAGGACCCACCTGAGAAGTCCATCCCCATCTGTACCCTGAAGAACTTCCCTAATGCCATCGAGCACACCCTGCAGGTGATAAGCTGTGGGAGAAGGGGAAGAGGCCGGGCATCTGGCCAGGCCGCTGCCTCTCTGCCCCCAGGCCCTTGCCTTGCCTTCAGATGTTGCATGCCTAAGTGTAAGATGTACCTTTTCTCCAAACCTCCCTCCCTCTCTTCCCACCAGGCAGCCTAGGTTTCTAGAATGACTCATTCTTTTTTCACTTTTACTTTGAATTTTTTTCAACACATAGAGAAATATTAAGAATATTATGATGAATACTCAAATACCATTCCTCACCTAAATTTAGCAATTCTTAATGTTTTGCCACATTTTCTTCTTAGATGTATATAGATTTTTCTTCTTTGTGCTTAAATGTGTCACGGACATAACAGCCTTTACTCCCCTACTATTTCAGTGCCTCTGCCAAGTGAGGATATGTTGCTATAGAACAGGGTTTCTTAGCTTCAGCACTACTGACATTTGGGGCTGGTTACTTCTTTGTTATGGGAGAGGGGATGCCCTGTGCACTGTAGGATGTTTCTCAGCATTCCTGACTTCTTATGTCAATAGCACTCCCCCTCCATCATGACATCTAAAATGTCTCCAGACATTGCCAGATGTCCCCAGGGGTGCCACATCACTCCCAATTGAGAACTACTTCTATCTAACAGAAACATCACTTTCATGCTCAACAAAATTAACAATCATTCTTACCATCTCTTCCAGTTATTTATTTGTCTCTAATAGTCCATATTCGGGTTTTCCCCAGCTGTTACTTAAAATGAGTTTAACAGCTGGTTTGTCAGGATGATTCTGTGTGTATGGTGCATGTACCTACAGAACAGTGCACATATTATCTAGCTCAGGGGTGTCCAATCATTTGGCTTCCCTGGGCCATATTGGAAGAATTATCTTGGGTCACACATAAAATATACTAACACTAACGATAGCTGATAAGCTGAAAAAATAAAAGAAAAAAAGATCCGTGCATAAATCTCATAATGTCTTAAGAAAATTTACAAATTTGTGTTGGGCAGTATTCAAAGTCATCCTGGGCCACATACGGGCCACAGGTTAGACAAGCTTGATCTAGCTGAAGTTTTACAAAGTGAACACACAAGTGACTACCACCTAGGCCAAGAAACAGAACCTAGGGATTACCATTGTGCTGTCAGAATAATTCTTAGTGCAGTGTTTGAGGCCAAACCATTTAGAATAGTAGGAGTATGAGGGTGGGAACAAAATAGGGAAGGGGAAAAAAAAAACCAGTTCCATCTGTCACTTTCTCCCTTCTGACACTGCAGTTCCAGAGTGGGTATGTTTGTATTTGTGCACCCACCACAGTCTTACTAGGTCATGTGTGACCTCTCTGTGCCTCAGATTCCTGTTCTGTAAAATGGGAATGACAGTAGCATCTACCTCACAGGACAGTTGTGAACCACTTGCCATTTACCGTGTGCCTGGCACTGTTTTAACCAAGCTTTAAATATATACGTATTTGCTCATTTCTTCCTAGCAACCCCATGAAGTAGGTATCACTGTTGTAACATCTGTTCTAGAGATGAAGCACAGAGGTAAAGATGTTATCCTGTGTGCCTGAAGTCACAAAACTAGGTAATACGTGGCATAGCTGGAATCTGAACATGAATTTCTCACATCTGTACACTCCAAACCACCTCGCTAATGACTGCGAACTGTCCTAGGAACTCTCAGAGGCCAGAACATCTGTCTTGTTTGCTATTTTATTTTTTGAGACAGGGTCTCATTCTGTCACTCAGGCTGAGGTGCATTGGCACAATCATAGCTCACTGCAACCTTCGGCTCCTGGGAAGTGTGTGTGCGCGCATGTGCGCCTGTTAACGTTGACCAGGCTGGTTGCAAACTCCTGGGCTCAAGTGATCCACCTACCTCAGCCTCCGAAAGTGCTGGGATTACATGTGTGAGCCCCTGTATCCAGCCTCTGTCTTGTTTTCTGCCGAGTCCTCAGGGCCTGGATAGGGATCATTTTTGGTTTGGTCTGAGTTTTTTCTTTTTTAAAAAATTGTGGTAAGATACACTTAGTTGAAGTTTTTCTTTTTTATGGAGGCATAACATATCTAGAATAAAGTACACAGTTTTTGTTTTGTTTTTTTTTGTTTGTTTGTTTGTTTTTTGAGGTGGAGTTTTGCTCACGTTGCCCAGGTTGTAGTGCAGTGGCGCAGTCTTGGCTCACTGCAACCTCTGCCTCCCGGGTTCAAGCGATTCTCCTGCCTCAGCCTCCCAAGTAGCTGGAATTACAGGCGTCTGCCACCACACCGGGCTAATTTTTGTATTTTTAGTAGAGACAGGGTTTCACCATGTTGGTCAGGCTGGTCTTGAACTCTTGACTCAGGTGATCCACCCGCCTCAGCCTCCCAAAGTACTGGGATTACAGGCGTGAGCCACCTCGCCCAGCCTGGTACGCAGATCTTAATACATTTTTAGGCTGGGCTTGGCGGCTCACACCTATAATCTCAGCACTCAGGAGGCCAAGGAGTGAGGTTTGTTTGAGCCCAGGAGTTCAAGACCAGCCTGGGCAACATAGCAAGACCTTGTCTCTACAACAAATCTTAAAAATGAGCCGGGTGTGGTGGCATGTGCCTGTGGTCCCAGCTACTCGGGAGGCTGAGGTGGGAGGATTGTTTCAACCTGGGAGGTCAAGGCTGCTATGAGCCGTGATTGCGCCACTGCACTCCAGCTTGGGTGACAGAGTGAAACTTTGTCTCAAACAACAAAACAAAACAGTTTTCCATATACACAGCACTATTGTAACCACTGCCCAAATCAAGTTCATTGGTTTTTCTTTTTTTTTTTTTTTTTTCTTTCTTTTTTTTGAGATGGAGTCTTACTCTGTCACCCAGGCTGGAGTGCAATGGCATGATCTCGGGTCACTGCAACCTCCGCTTCCCAGGTTCAAGCGATTCCTCTGCCTCAACCTCCCGAGTAGCTAGGATTACAGGCGTCTGCCACCATGCCCGGCTAATTTTTGTATTTTTAGTAGAGATAGGGTTTCATCATGTTGGTCAGGCTGGTCTCGAACCCTTGACCTCAGGTGATCCACCCACCTTAGCCTCCCAAAGTGCTGGGATTACAGGTGTGAGCTACTGCACCTGGCCTGGTTTTTTTTTTTTTTGAGACGGAGTCTCGCGCTGTCACCCAGGCTGGAGTGCAGTGGCCGGATCTCAGCTCACTGCAAGCTCCGCCTCCCGGGTTCACGCCATTCTCCTGCCTCAGCCTCCCGAGTAGCTGGGACTACAGGCGCCCGCCACCTCACCCGGCTAATTTTTTGTATTTTTTAGTAGAGACGGGGTTTCACGGTGTTAACCAGCATGGTCTCGATCTCCTGACCTCGTGATCCGCCCGTCTCGGCCTGCCAAAGTGCTGGGATTACAGGCTTGAGCCACCGCGCCCGGCCCTGGCCTGGTTTTTCAATTGAGGTGGGGAAATGGGGAAGGCTGGGGAGCTTCCCCACTTCCAGAATAACTGTGAGCCTTGTACTTGCTTTATTCACTGATGGTCCTTCTAATAATGCCTGCGGTAACCCATTTTGTCAACTGTGGCCACATGTAATCTGTTTGCTATGTCTGCAGTGGGCTCGGGATGAGTTTGAAGGCCTCTTCAAGCAGCCAGCAGAAAATGTCAACCAGTACCTCACGTGAGTAACTCCAGTGCCCTCTCGCCCTATCCTTGTCCACCAGCCAAGGCATCCCGCCTGCTTTCCTCATCACAGTAACACTTGGCACCAGGCACACTTTTCACATGAATGAGTGGCTGCTCGGGCCTCGTATTGTTTGGGGTCGGGACTAGTTTTCCATGGAGAAAATAAGATTGCTCTGGAGCCCACTCCTGAGGCTGACGTGTAATCCTGTCCTCTGTCCTCTTCGATTCCTGATAGAGACCCCAAGTTTGTGGAGCGAAC